AAAGACGTGGTCTTCGCGATATTTCCTGAGACCTTTCGGCATCGTCTGTCTGTACTTCTTTATCCTGCAGTTCTCGGGCAACAATGCAATGACTTTCTACTGTGTCGAGCTGTTGGCAAACATCTCGGACCCGGCGTACGCGTATCTCATAACACTTATCATCGATGCGATTCGTCTGATATTCACTGTTTTCGTGAGCATTCTTTTGAAAACATGCCGCAGACGCACCTTGACGTTTATATCCGGCTTTGGCGTAGCTATTAGCATGCTATCTTTGAGTGTGTGCTTGATATTTGATATTGGAAAACCCTGGAGTTCCGTAGTTTTACTCATTACTTACATCGTATTGCTGTCACTGGGAGTGATCCCCCTACCTTGGTTGATTTGCGGTGAACTGTTCTCGAGGAAGTATCGTGGGCTCGGCTCTGGAATAACGTCCAGCTTCAACTTTATGTGTTTCTTTGTGGTGATCAAGACGATGCCGCTTATGATGAAAAATATTAAGCCTGAAGGTACATTCGCCGTTTACGGGTTCTTGACGTTGATCGGGTGCAGTATTTTATACTTTGTTCTTCCGGAAACTAAGGACAAAACCTTGCAGGAAATTCAGAAATATTTTGACAAGAAATCTCACACACCGAAAACAGAAGATGTGAATGTGCCGCATCAAGAGTGTGTTTCTTCGGAGAAAAACGAATTGGATAAGAAAATGCCGCTTGATAAATAGCGATCACTTAATGAATGGGTTACAGAATACCTCTAATATGTAGATACATGTTAGTATACATCATAATATATTTATATATTATGAAGATTCATAATTTATGAATATATTATGATAATTTGTATTAATATAAGTACTTTGAATTAATATATTCGTATTAATATACGACGTTCGAATAGAGAGTAGATTTTATTTTAGGACGGAATTGTTTCATTAGCCACTTTCTTACAAGTATGATATGCTGTATTGATATACATACTGTATTAGCATGATAAAGTAGAGGTCTGTGTCACACATTACGTTTTCTCTTTCTTTTTAAAAAATGTATATGATTTGTAAATTGAGACTCGAACGTTGAGACTTAACTTTAGCGACGATGATGTATTTGACGGTAATTGTACGCGCGAAACTGTGTATCTTTACGCGAGCCGGCGTGTCGCAAGCTTTGTCTACTCGACATTATCAAATTTCAATAACGGCAAAACCAATCAACTTCTAAGTAGGTTCAATCGATAGCTTATGTTTCAATTGCATTATAAAAGTGTTTTTATTTTTCCTCTGCGTGTCCTAGCGAGCGGAGGTATTGCGACGCAAAGTCTGAACCGGGAAATTTTATTTCAAGAAACAACGTCTTTTTATTGTCGTTATAATTATAATCTCTACCGAAAGAGGCGCTAGCGATTCATAGAAAGAGTTAGCGATCGAGAGCGAAAGAGCGAGCATGCAAGAGAGCAACAGAGCAAACAAGGAAGTGAAAGAGCGAGCGAGATATAGCTTTACGTAGATATTACGTTCACAATTTTTATTTAATTCTTATATGCTTATCTCAGCTGCATTGGCGAATAGCTCAACGTTTCTACTAATGTTACTCTCATTTCATCGTTTGAACAGTCGTAGTGTGTGCATTTCAACAAATTTGATTTTAATTTGTTTAAAAAAATTTGTTTAAAAAGCAAAGATATCGGACGAATAGCGGACGAAATTGTCTTATCGTAAAAGTGTATATTATAACAGTGAAAAGTGTACTGCAGTTACGTCATATTTTAACGTTCATAGTTTAACGTCTTCGGATTTTTTCTACATCTCTACAATTGAGATTTCTATCACAATGAAGGATAAGGAGTATGATAAAAGATCGGAAGAGCACACG